TTTTGTGTTATAATTTGTAGTCATTTTAGAATGAAAAAGGCATAATTTATATTTATTTCCTAATTTTTATGGTGGTTACTGAACCTATACAGATATTTGTAAGTGAAAATAATGGATAAAGTATAAAGTTTTTCTTAAGAAACATTGGATAACTATCTGGACATTATAAGGATTTTGCATGTGAATTTTTAAAATTTTCTGATGTATAAAAGTATTTTTAATCTTCAAATAAAATTACTTTGTATGTTGGATAGGAAACATGCGAAAAAAAAAAAAGGCATGAGAAAAACATTGCTTTAGAAGAAATCAAAATTAAATATCCTATTTTTCAAAATCTACATACTTGTATGACCTTTCATCTCAAATTTAAAAGAATTTCATCCATTAGTTTTATTTTTGTAAAGAACTTAGCTGTAAAAATTCTCATGTTTTGAAAACGTTGGCTTTTCACCAACTTAAATCATATTATATTAAAATGATTTAATTGGTTATCACATTCTTTTATTCCAAAATGGTACTACCTTCTCTCACCCAAAGCTATGTTGATCCTGCTTTGCCCTCTAAGCATTGCTAAAAACATTTTTGCTAACAGTGCACCAGTCTTTTATATCCCTTCATTTTTGCACCATTTCAGAACACATGCTTATCATGTGATTACTCTCCACCAATCATACTGTGCCATATATATACTAGTGTAGCTAACTTTCTTTACTATTCTAGCACAATCCTCACTTTCTTAATTGGCATTCTAGTGTATAGACTTGTGCTTTAACCCATTCTCCACGTGACTACAAAATGTTGAATGTGCTTGATCACAAATTTATATCAGTTTGAACTTTAAGTTTTGACTTCTTGTGTTTGATTTCCAATTTTTATACAAATATTTCTGTTTTCTGAATTCTAATTTGTTTATATGACTTCCATATTTAATATGGTGGATGATGAAATTCCAGCATTAGTGGACAATGGTTCTGACATGAGTTCCCAGGTCTCAGAGTCAACTATATCTGTT